ACCTTAGGAGAGGGCAAAAAGCTGTTACCTTTCGTCCTCATGGCTTCGGAGGTGTTCACCTTAAGGTAGGCTGTCTGAAAGCAGAGCGTGAGACTTGCTGAAGTCCTGGCACCGAGCGTATGCGTTAAACTGCGAACCTCAGACTCGCAACCCATACGTTCTCATGGTCAGCATTGCAGCTGCTGTCAGCGTGCTGTTGGCTCCTACCTACTCTTATCATGACATTCTCCGGAACCTGATCCACTCAGCTACCACTGTGGTGTGAGTGGGTGTGTGTGTGTGTGTGTCAAAGTTATGTTCGTAAAGGGACCCTAGTTACCTAGCTGAATCCCCTCCCCCTCCGCACTCCTTAATATCAGATATTCCCAATTTCTTATGATATACCACAATCGCAATGGGGAGTATTTGATATTCGGGGTGGGGGGTGAATACTGTATCAGGAGAAGGGGATTAGTGACCTAGCTTGGGTACCTACCACAAGCTTCAGAAGTGTCAGAAAGCTTCGCAGGGCAAAGCGGCAAGGACAGCACTCCAACATCAGGTTTGGTTTCTCGGCTACATTGGTTAGGCTTTGGGGCTGAGCATTTAGGGTTTAGGGGGAGCCTTGGAAAAATTGAGGTGCCGTTTGATGCCATTCACAGACTGCTTTGGTGGGCAAATCATTCTTGAAGCAAGGGAGGACGCTTTAATCCCCTAATATGACCCCACCCACCCCCCAAAAAAAGTAAACATCCCGCTTTGTGGTATATTGCAATACATTGGGAATTTTCAGTTCAATACTAGGGGGCGGGGAGACTGACCATTGGGAAGTGACTAGGATGGAACATTGGAGTGTAATCTGGCACTATTCACCTGCCATGGCAACAGTCCAGACCCAAAGAAGTACCGCCTCTTCCTGAGAACAACTTCTAAGTGGAGCATAACAGAGGTCCCATTGCTCCGCTTGAAGCTTCAGAATTCAAATCTTAGCATATTAAGAGTGCGTTCATATTTGTGTTAAAGACCAATGATGGCCAAGAGCCTGGCTGAGCAGAGCTTTCAAGCAGCGATAGATAGCCAGATTTTCAATCAGCAGATATGTCACCTTCATTGGCTGGGTCAAACCACCTAAATCCTAAACCCTAAACCTTTAACCTTAAACCCTGAACATCCCTGAGCCACTGAAATTTCCTACTTGACTTGACCGCTGAGCGGAGGTAGTCATGGAAAGTCGTCCTCAGCGTGCTGCCCCTGCCAGGCGGCCAGGCGAGGCGGTTACTGCTTGCATGCCTTCTTGGGATGTTTATGACATGCAATTCTATGTTGTGTATTGGGCTTTAAGATACCAAACATGCATCATGTCCCAAAAATGTCTAAAAGTGGAGGAGGCATACCTTCTTTTTTGGCTCTCTGGACTCCATGCGGATGCTTAACCAAGAGGGGAATGAGTGGAACCAGGAGGATGCAAGGCCCTTTTCTTCGACCCCTCAGGCCTTTCAGCTTTTCAAATTAAGTCCTGACCCTCAACACATTGGTTTCCTCAAGCGTGTTTAGTGAGAGAGGGAGACAGAAGAAACAAATAGCCTTAATATTAGCCCCAATAGAATCCCAATATAACCCCAAGATACTGTAGTAGTTTCCATTTTCTTTTCCATTATCCCCAGTATAACCTAAACCCCACATGTTGTGTGTTTCACCTAAGGGGCTAGCAGGTTCTCAAGAATTCGGAACACGGTTCTGCCGTTCCAGTCATCCTAGCACCATGCGAGGGCCCTGCTAGAGGGAGCTGTTCTGACTTAAGCCTTTGTGGTCCAGCTCTTACCAAAACAGCCCAGTTTTCAAGCTTCGGAAGGGTTATCAGTGTACTACACCCTAAACCCTAAACCCCAGGGAGGGAGGGTGCCAAGCAATGGCGGACAATGGCGGCTTCATACCGCTGCAGCCTCAGCGCACGAACTTCAAATTCAAGGAACCTTGGCTTCTTCAGGCAGGCCTTCTGGCTTTCCAATACATGAGCTATAAACTAAACTCCTTAAAGGGGTTTATAGAAGGGACTATAAAGGGGACTACGGTAGGGAATAGTAAGGGGGACACTAGGAGTATAGATTATAAGTTCACTTGGGGCTCAGAAGGTTGGGTTTAGGTTCTAGGGTTATAGATGATACGTGGAGGTCATTTTGTGTGATGGATTCCCTCATGAACATCCAGGAAAGTCTGTGTCATTCCTTCACAAGGCCACAGAGCACATTGTCACGCCATGGTCTTGACTGGTCTCATAGCATCCACATCCGCTTTGGACTCCATGTCTCTTAGGATTTAGGGTTCAGGGTTTTTTCATCTTACACCGGCAACCTCCTGGGTATGCCCTTCCCCTGCTCAGACTTCCTCTGCTCTTGATCTCAGGAGGGCGTTCATCAAATGGGCACATCTCGATTTGAAGCTGGTGCGCGTGTTTCGATGAGCTGGAACCAGGTGCTGGGTTTTTGTACTTGACCCTGTAAAGGTTGGTCTTGGACGGGTGAGCTGAGCGGAAGTGCACCAACACGAGCAGAACGATAACAATGATATTTCCAGGTTCTATGATATTAACGTAGCCGCAGCGAAAGTAAAAAGAAACAGAAGAAATCATCACCACCACATGGGTGGTCAATAACCCTAGACCTTGAAGCTTAGTTAAAAGCCAAAGTCCTAGTCCTTAAACCCTAAACCTCTAAGACCTACCCTAAAACCCAAGCCATCCAGGTGCTGCAAAGAAAACTAATTAAACCCTAATCCCTCAACCTTATAGGCCCCCTCAAGTAGATAGAATATGGCTTTGGGTATATTAGCCATATTCTATCTACTTAAGGGGACTATAATCCCTAAAACTTAATCCCTAAACCCTGAACAACCCTAAACCCTAATCGTGAGGCGATGCTCGCACAGGCCCAGGGCTGGGGTGAGATGGAAATCGGACGGCGGCCCCACCACAACAGGCCAGCGGGGCCATGGGAAGGTTTAGGGTTTAGGGATCAGTGTTTTGAAATCAGGGTTCAGGGTTTAAGGTTTAGGGTTTAGGGATGGGGGTTTGAGGCAGAATGGTTGAATATTAGGGTAAATGGTTTAGGGTTTAACGGAGCCAGGGGGGAGTGCAGAGTGGGGGGGTAGGGGTAGAGGGTTTAGGGTTTAAAGGGGGCAATTAAAAGTAGTTGGTTTAGGGCTGAAGGAGGGGTGGGTGTTCAAAACAAAGGGTTAAGAGCGGTGCTAAGACTAAGAATATGGGGTTTAGAGTTTTAGCTTTAGGTTGTAAGGTTTTGGTTAAAGCTCTAGGTCAGAAAACAATCAGAAAATCAAACTGCAAAAATAGACATGACATGGAAATGTGGTGTTAAAGTAGTTAATATGACTTATTTTAGTCCATCCTAGGGGCCCATACTGCTAACCTTTGACTTTGGGCCTTAAGGGTCTCCGAATGTTTGGGTAAAGGGTTTAGGGAGTAGCTCTGAGGGCTAAGTTATGACCAGGTTGTAGCTACATCCGCCTAAACCCTAAACCCAAACCCATATCCTCATATGAGCTATAGTCTAAACTCCTCAGGGGGGGGGTATGTCGGGGATTGTATAGGGGAGTAGTATAGGGGTTACTAAGGGGGATACTAGGAGTTTAGACAGTGGCTCACCCTAAACCCTAAACCCTAAACCCCTCATATCCTTAGGTATCCCCAAACAGCCGGGGAAGGCATGGACCTTCGCCTTGAGTTGTAGGGTTTAGGGTAAACCCTAAACCCTAGACCCTAAACCCTAAACCCCAGGGTGGTTAAGGGCTTAGGGTAAGGTAGGGGGCTCCGTTTCTGGGAGTCCCCGGGCTTAGGGTTTAGGGGTTTAGGGGCTTAGGTTTGGCTACACCAACTCCCAAAAAAAAAGGACCCTGAGTCGATCATATGAATCTCTTATAGTCCTGATCAGGGTTGGTCACCAAGACCCTCTTATGAACAAGGGCTATGCGAAAGTGATTCACAACTCTTCTGAGAGATCCATACATGTTCCGTAGTCCTATCAGGTAGAAGTCTAGCAAGGCTAGAATTGTCAACTAGCAGCAGCAGGAAGAGGAACAGGCTTGCACTCCTGACACTGCTAGCTCTAAACCCTATCCTCTCAAAACCTCACATGGAATCTCATGTGGTGCTTTGTAAAAGGACAATAGTCTGGGTAGGCACCCGTTTGGGATTCCACGCTACTTTGGGGGCAGTCAAAACAACAGCTTTAGCGTCCCAGTGGTGAAGGCCAAAAAATGTGCCAGCACCTACAAAGATTCATTGCGTTGCCCCGACTGGGTTTGGGCTTCGCAGGGTTTGCTAAAGAACCAGAACTTGGAGCGCATGAAGATCATTTGGCAACTCGAGGCCCAGCTCCTGTAGCAATTACATGATAATCATTAGGTCCTTTGTTTCGACGACTGGAATTGCCAAGTCATCCCTGTTAGTAGCAGAAACAGGAGTGATGAAAGCTAATCTTCAATAGATCCAGGAGGTCTGATAGCAGAGCGCCGCAAGATGCAGAATGTCTGGTACTGTCCGTACTGGTACTCAGAGTATTGCACTGGTAGTAGTGACTATCTTACTTCTCCTGCTACACGACCACTGCGACCAGCACCGCTGCTACTGCTGCTTCTATTGCTGCCATTGCTCTGATTGCGAGCAGCATTCTCTGGTACTTGCATGTCTTATCCTTACTCATTTTGGGGGGTGCCAGGCACAAAAATCCTCAATATAAGGACCTCAAGAAAGGACTGCTGACTGTGAGAAACCCTAGACCAGATCCTGAACCCCCTGTATGCCTATCTAACTCCTAGATATGATCATATGAGCTATAGGCTAAACTGCTTGTAAGGGATTATATAGGGAATTATATTGGGGACAATGATCGTGGTCAGTAAGGGGGATACTACGAGTTGAGACTATGGCTCATACATTGATGCAAAATCCTCTTTAATCCCTCTAAGGCGTCGCTCATGTTGTAATCTTCACTTCGTCTACCGCAGAGGCCTCACCTGCTTCATGGACGCCAGCCTCCCGCTGAAGAGCTGATCCCAAGTGCTTCAGCTCATAAAAGTAAGAACCACACAGACAGAAGATAGAAATGCAGAATCATAGCAGGAACGCAGAGATACAGCATCATAGTAAGAACATAGAAGTATCATGTTATTGGCAACACCGACAATATGTATGTATATATGTAGTAATATGGTAACAAAGTAATGGTCATAGTCATAGCAATAGTCGGGGCAGCGCTTGATTGTTTTGGTTTCGCAGGGTTTGAGGAAATTTGCGTGGCCTTGAGGTAGGATTTGTGAGTTGGCCCTGGGTTCTCAATGTGATGAATCCAGTTTTAGAGGATCTCTTTGGGAAAGCTGGTCCCAGGATTCTTCTTGGGAATACAGTCCCCCCTAAGTAGATGTAATATGGTTTTGGGTATATTATAATAAGATCCCGATATAACCCATATTCTATCTACTTACGGGGGGCTACATATAAGTGCACCCTGACTTCCAGAAACGCACTCCCTCGGTGATTCATTCCGCCTACAGGCGATGGGCTCACTGCTCCACAGCGTGCGGAGGCCCGCCTTCGGCGCAACAACGCAGCCACGCCAGCGGAGGAGACCTTGCCGATGGCCAAGGTTTTGCCCCAATAGTGGAGAATTTAGGGTTAAGGGTTTAGAGGTGTTGCCCCAATAATGGAGAATTTAGGGTTAAGGGTTTAGAGGTTTTGCCCCAATAATGGAGAATTTAGGGTTTAGGGTTTAGAAGTTTTGCCCCAGTAATGGAGAATTTAGGGTTTAGGGTTTAGAAGTTTTGCCCCAATAACGGAGAATTTAGGGTTTAGGGTTTAGAGGTTTCGCCCCAATAATGGAGAATTTAGGGTTTAGGGTTTAGAAGTTTTGCCCCAGTAATGGAGAATTTAGGGTTTAGAGTTTAGAGGTTTCGCCCCAATAACGGAGAATTTAGGGTTTAGGGTTTAGAGGTTTTGCCCCAATAATGGAGAATTACTCCCCTAATAATTAATGGAGAAGAAAATGAAAAATGAAATGGAAACCCAAGGTCCCCTTTAAGGAGTATAGAGGGATGTTCCCCCAATAATGGAGAATCAAATGGGAAACAAAAGGGAAAATGAAATGGAAACAGTGGTTTAGGGTGTAGTGTAAGTTTTGGGTGTAGAGGGTAGAAGTATGCATTAGGTGGACCCCCCACCCTGTAATAGTGGCTATAAGAGATATAGGGAATACATTAGGGTCCTCTTATATTCCTATTATACCACTATTAAAGGGCGGGGGGGGTCCTCCTAACCCATGAGAGCCTAAACCCTAACCTTGAGCTAGGATTTCGGGCTCAGGGTTTAGGTCAGGGTCTCTGAGTTTTCGCAATGAGGATCCAAGTGTTCGGGGTTCCCAAAATCCCCTGATGGTACCTGTTGAGCGATGTCTACAGGCACCGTGGCACAGATCCCTGCTTTCATCCCATGCGTAGTCGGATGCAGGCTGTCCAATCGGAGTTGTTCAAAACCATCAGTACAGGATTGGCAATGAGGACCTGTATGACTGACTTCCCTGCAGTTCTGGAGAGTTTCTAGACTTCCTAGAGGCACCGCTCTTTTGGGAATCCACCCTTTCTGCACGCGCTTCAGGCAAAATCTTCACCCAGTTCCGACTCCAGGCAATAGGCTTTGAGGTCAGGGAAGTTTATGACAGGATCGCCTGCGTCAGGAGGGAGACATGCCGAGAACCCAATTCAAGCTGGAGATGGATGTGCCGCTGCAGTTGTCGCCAGCCAAGACAGGCAAGTCCCTCACTGGGCTTGCCTTTTCTCAGCTATGTGAGCGGTTTTGACAGAGTTCCTTACGAGGCTAACTAGAGGGCTGTTCTGTTGCGGGAGTATTTGGCTATGATCCTGAGCCCTCGGATTAGGTGGTGAATCCGGAGCAGCACAGAGAGGAGCACTGGCAGCCTGGCAGCATGCGACCAGCAGCTGGCTCTCGATACACAGGGATCTGAAGGAGATCTGGTCCAAAGCTTGTGACCCTCCAACTCGCTTGGCCAAGACGGCTGCGTTTGTGGGAGAGCTCAAGCGCTGGGGATCTGCGGAGGGTAAGCCGCACGGTTTGGGGGTCTTGCTTCTGGAAGACATGCAGCACCTGGGTCGCTTTCACGAGGGCCGTGCGGATGGCGAAGGCGTGTGCCTTAGCCGCAGTGGCTGCGTTTGGCACGGCCGCTGGACTTCAAACCTGCGTGTGGGAGATTTTGTTTGCCTGGACGCGCGAGGGAATCTGTGGTTGGAGCAGTATGATCACCAAGGCAGGTGATACAATTGGGTTGCTGTTAAGGAACTTCATAATGGGTATACCTAGCAAAAAATAAGGTTTCCCCAAGATAGTAACTTAAATTTAATTCCTTAACAGCAACCCAGCCAAGGCAAGCGATACAAGCGGCAGCTTATCCAGGGATCTTCTGAAGCTTGCCAAGATGCTATCGTCAAGGCTGCTGTGACATGTCAGCGGTGCGGCTGGCTCCACCACTTGACCCTTGGAATCTGATTCAGCATTCCCAGTTCCTTTGGAAACTTGCTTACAGAATCCGTCATAGATCGCCAAGCTAATTTAAGTTCATCCCTACATAACACCCAATATACTACAGTAGTTTCCACTTTCTTTTCCATTTTCCCTAAGTAACCCCACGCGGCATCAACTTGATAGGCTTCTTGTTCCCCCAATGCACAGGCAGTTCAATCATGAGTTCGCGTGCCAACTCTCTGAAGTTTCTGCGGCCAAGTTTGGTGCGGGCCGAGATGGTCCACCCAGCACTGGCGCAGAGAGCTGCCAAAGCAGCAGCTGCTTTAGTGCCCACCCTACGCTATAATGTCCCCAGGATTCATTCAGTCGAATCCAAGGAAGCTATATCCTGCATTGGTTTCACCTCTGCTGTTAGGGACCAGAGCTTTGTTGTTGAGCAGAAATCCAAAACAGAAAATGATTGAAGCATCAGGTGGGTAAAACAGCAGAGTCTCCCCGCACAAGAAGCTGTCAAGGGCCAATGAGCTCAATGTGAATAACAGCCCTACAAAACCTTCCTCCCTAGAAGCTAAGTAGGCATCCACAATGTGCGGCCAAAGTAGATACATTGGGGTTAGTCGCCGTTTTTCCTGCCTAGCATGTGGTTGAATTCTTGTACATTGTCCACAAGGGCACTTTACAACCAAGCTTCAAATCCTAGATATCAAGCCCTAAGCTAAGCTCTAAACCCAGAATATTTTGTTCGCTACAAAGAGCCCCGGTGCAGCTGAAGCACAATGAAGTCGTCTCTCGAAGTTGTCATATGTCATACATAGTGAGTCATGACTCGAGCTTCTCGTTGGTGCCTGGCGGGCAGGAATCGCCAAATATGTATTGACAAGTAGTGGTCATCAAGTCCTGGTTGAGAATACTTTGTCTCAATGCGGTAGTCCTCAAAACTTACTGCAGGTCTCCTTCTGTACCTTGGTAATTAACCCCCCAAAGCTTCCAGCATGTTTCATCCGAGAGGGAGCCACCCGTCTGGGGGTCTTTTTGAGGCTTCAAGACATTATGACATGTTGAAGTCGTCAAGTTCGGGAAATGCAACTTGCGTGGAAGCGGTGGATTCTTGGGTCAATGGTGTTACTCCACCATGCAAGCAGCAAAAGCCTAAGGTGCAAAGCCCTGGTGTTGTTTTGATGGTGGCTAGCTCGCCCTAATAGCACAGGGTTCCCTGCATCAGCCTTCCACGGTTTATGGATGAAAGTGGATGAAGGTTTAAGGGAAACCACCCACTGCCTACCATGTCCAAAAAGCCATTTGCGCAGGTGCAGCTGCCAAAGATCATGCTTTGGACAGGCTCCCAGAGCATGTCTGTTGTGTAGATTACACTACCCCTGCTCAGTGTTGAGAGCGCTCGATCATGAAATCGCACTGCCTTGCAATTCCTCAACATGGTGCCACGCACTTCCTCCCTAACTCCAGAAGCCCCAAACCCCCTAACCCTGAACCCCTAAACCTCAAACTCACTAAACCTCAAACGCACTAACCCTAAACCCCTTAACCCTAAACCCCCTAAACCTCAAACGCACTAACCCTAAACCCCCTAACCATAAACCCCTCAACGCTTTAAACCCGAAATTGTAGTTTCCATTTTCCATGTTCCCTATATAAGCTCTAAACCCCTCAACCCTAAAGCCTTACCATGCCCCAACTCAAGAATATGGGAATTATATAGGGACTACGTATTATATGACGGCTATATAATAGGGATTGTATAGGGATGAAATAGAAAGGATATAGCAATTATATACGTATTAGTTTGGCGTTGTTATGGGCTTGTGTTGGGTCATTTAATTTTCAGATCCTACCAGGCATCAGATAGACCACTTTTGGGTGTAGGCGGCATTATAGGGCTTAGGGCTTGGTAGTGCGTCATCCTTAGTAGTCAGACAGGATTTTGCCCATCAACAGTTTGTCTGCGTACCTGATTGCTTTGGGAGATCTTTTTGAAGAGTCAGAACCATTTTGGGCCATTTCGAGGCGGGCAGGACTGGAAACCCCAAATGCTCAGTGATGACAGCAAGTGTAGCCCACACCAAGACCTCTTCCAGCTCAAAAGGAAACGGTAGCGCATGTCAGCCGAACCCACTCCATGCAAAGGTCCCCCATCATCCTCTTATGATCCCCATGTACCCCTGGGGCCCCAAAAGCACCCTATTGAAGAAGAGGAGCCATTGAGGACCCTATCCTACATGATAGTGACAGGACCAGTATCTTTGGGTTTGGGTTCTGGAATTCCTATATCTCCCATGTTAAGTCACAGTCCCCGTTTGATTTTCCATTTGATTCTCCACTATTGTTGTAATATCCCTCAACCTTAAACAATCCCCCATATACTCCACATACATATTTCTCTCTCTCTCTCTCAATCTCTCTCCCTTCATGTGTACGTCAGATTCCTATTTCAAGCGACTACCGTGTAGAATCCCGGAGCCAGGCTTCTCAGTGGCCGGCTGCCTGCAACGCCTGCCAGGCCTTGGGTTTGTCTAACTCTCTAGCCTATGTGGGGGTTTCCTAATTATGGCGTTATATAGGGGTAATACAGGAGTTATATAGGGAAATGAAAAAAAAGGAGGCTACTATTTATGATTTAGGGTTTGGGGTTTAGAGTCTCCCAAAATTAGGGGTACCATTTTGGGGGTCCCCGGAATAAGGATGATACTGCTTTGGGGTCTACATTGGGGTTCCCCTACTTTGGGAAACAAACCACCATGTGTACCCGGAAAGGCTCCTAGAATCCCCCTAAACGGCCTAAGGGCCCTTATTAGGGGCTCATACTTGAAACCTTAGAGTTTAGGGTTGTAGGGTTTGAAGGGTTGGGGGTTTAGGGGTTCAGGTGGTCACCAAAAGAGGTAACCCCTCGCCCTAAAACATGTAGCCCCCAACCCATAATATGTTTAGCCTATATCTCATGGGGAACATATTTCATATTATGGGGAACCCTAGAAACCCCAAACCTTCAACCTTAAGCCCTAAACCCTAAAACCCTAAGCTGGAAACCCTAAACCCTGAACCCTACTCCCGTAAACCCTAAACCCTCAAACTCAAGCATCCACGTGGACAGCCAGACAGACAGTGCGGTGGAGGCAGCGGAGGTGGGTCAACAGAACGAGGAGGGCAGCAGTGAGTCCGTCTCGTCAGGGCCGAGAGTCCTCCCGAGAGTGGTGACAGTGGCTGGAAGCAGGCCACCTGCAGCTTCGACTGCGGAGGATGACGCGCGCGAGGGTGCCTTCGCAATCGCTGCCGGTGATGTGGTGCGCACGGCGGAGAACCAGGATGAGGGCGAGGCTGCTGAGTCATCTACCGAGGAAGAAATGAGAGGGATTCAAACCAACTTGAAGCACTGGCTGAAGTAATGTTAGAGTGTCGTTGGTCACCCTGCCATGTATGCTGGTTTATGCCACTTTTGCTTCGCTGCGTGCACCGAGGCTTGACATGCCAGCTTTGAACGGAAGTGCTTGTCTAGGGCTTTAGGGCTCTTGGCCAGCTGTCGGATGCACGTGAGGTTGAGCTGATTTTGCCATCGCAGGTTTTTCCAAAGGCTTGTGCCGTGGTTGGGAGCTATGCTCTGGGCCGTGCAGGATTGCATGTCCTCGGATTCATCCGCTGGAGAAAAGGTTCGATAGAAAAACACTTATAACTCAAGGCCTAGGCAGCCCACTTACTATGGCTGGGCACCTGCGGCGGGCCCATTGAAGTTTTTTCCTTCCAAAACGCCCTCGATTTTTGAGATACAGAAAAGAGCTGCTGGGAGGTTCCCAGAGGCTGAGAAACATATACGATTGAGGTGTATAAGGGACACGGGCAGGTGGCGAGCGAAGGAAGAAAACCCGTGAGAATGTTCAATGATTTGGGATTCTGAAAGGGTGAGGTGATACCAAGCACGTGTAGTAATGTAAGAAGCCTTGCTGGCTTCCAGCTCTAGCTAATCGTGAATCCTAAGCCCTAATTAAAACACTAAACCCTAAACTCTCAAACCTTAAACCTTCAACCCTAAGCCCTAAACCCTGAATCCTACACGGTAGACGCCCTTACTTTGTAAACTCTACGGGATCGGGAATTCATGTAAGAAATTTTGAGGGGCCACTACCGAGTGTCGGTGCGCGGTTTAGGGGTTTAGGCTGTTAGGGTTTTGGGATATTAGGGCTTGGGGTTTAAGATTTTGGGTCTAGGAGTTTAGGGCTTGGGGGTTTAAGGTTGTTGTGCAAGTTTCTGCGACTCTTAATGAGGGAGCAGCAGGCCGCAGGCCTACCCTATTTTGCAGCAAGGAGCCACTGCAAGTAGGGGCTTTGATACTAGTTGGTTCTCCATGCTAGGAATGAAGGAATAGCAGCGCCGCGGCTAACGCAAAGGCATGCAAAGAGGAAGGTCAATAGCGCTCAGCAGGAGAATCCTAAGGCTCAAAGGGGCTGCAAAACACGTGTTCAGGCTTGAAGGCAACGCAGGACTTCCAGGACGCTAGCCTGGAGGAATTTAGTTGATTATTAATATTCTTCTTCTTACTTTCAAAAATACTAATACATTCCCGCTATTCAATTCCTATTATATGAAAGATTGTGGGTAGGAATTGGTAAGTAGGGGCTTTGCTCTTGGGAACAAACCCTCCCCCCTCGCTAGAGCTACAAGGAGTTTAGACTATGACTCAAATCATCTTCCGACTTCTGAAGCACGAAGAAAAGTTACTTGCTTTAGACCCAAGAGAGGCAGACCTGTTTTTGGCACGTGGTACATACTGGCAGGCAAGCCACCAAGGAAACCCCAAAAGCTGCTGGCGCCAAGCCCTCGCAGCCTGCAGAGATTGGCACCGAAAGGAGGCAGTGGGAAGCTACCCGTAACAGTTGTGCTTTTGAAGGTCGGGCTGAGCTTGACGATGAACAGGGGTTGAGTAGCACATCAAAGTCTATACAGGTCTTGTTTCGCGTGATCAGAAGTGTTGTACCTCGAAGTAATTGAGATAAGACATGCCCAGTAACATCGGATCAACGGCAGAATAAGCATCAGGCTTCCTGTTTGAGGATTCCGGCCATATAGGTGCCAAGCACTTTCATGCTTGCACCAACCCGCTTGCATGCATTGCACCTCCACACGGCAAGCTGCCATATCTTAGTTGGCAGATCTTTAAAAGTTCCAATCCCACCCAAAGCAGCCACGAAGCTGAGACCTTCTTGCTTGTTTTGACTCCTCCGAAGAGTTATGGGCGAGTCAACAGAACACAGGTCCGCCTACAACCAGCAAAACGCGAACAAGCTCGGGCGCCTAACAAGCAAACCCTCCAAAAAAAACGCCAGGTGATCCCCCCAAACC